AAAGTTAAATGGCTCAAGGTAGCATGTCGATGGTTTTAGTTTGTGTTTTCGTAATCACTTCATTGGGGTTCATGAATTGTTGCCGGTACTGAGTTTTTTGCCTTACTCGCAGTAATGTTCTTACAAGTCGTGCCAAATACTTCCGTACCCAGCAAATGGTAGTTACAGCGACGAAAACAGTTTCGCTAGTCGGACTTCGATCTGTAGCGTCAATGGCTATAGCATAGCCGCCTAGCTCGGCTCGGCTGAAGTTTTTCCTCGTATTTGAGGATTACCCTCAACGTACGAACTTCGAATCGATAACCGCCAGAATATCGTTAGTATGACTGCAGTGACGTGCGTCAAGACTGGAGCCGTCCGCAGCTTCTTTTTTGATTATGGTCAGTGCTTTACCTGACCGTTCTCATGCTGTCTTCAGATGCTTGAAGAGCATCCGTCAGTTATTCAGCTTCGATGACCACCTATTCTTTCGCGTCGTGGGTGCAGCTTCATCACACAGTGCCTCAAATGTTTCCAATTTTTTTATCACCGTTTGATCTTCAACAGAAGATAATCTGGTTCTAATCGCAAGGTCCCTCGAGCACTTGCCGCAGGTCATTCTTGGTCGTTCCATAAGTCTTCGGCCGAGCGGTTGACCAAATAGTAGCTGGTTCGCCTGCCCTTATCGAAGCGTTCGAAAGACATGCCTGAACCATCGCAGCTGTAACTTTTAAAGTTCTGCAGAAGCAGCGGCTGTACACCAAGGCTTTCTCGGATTTCTGAACTGTGAACTCTGTCGAAAAGCGTGGCATGAACGATTTTACTCAGAAAGTCCATTTACGCCGCTTGTGTCCGGAAGTAAAATTTTTCATTCGTGTCTATAAGTGCCCATGGGTCATAATTCATGCCTTATTTAGTTCACTTTGAAGGTCGCTTTAATGGGTACGGCAGTTGTGGACATTTGCCGTAACACTGCGATTAGTTTGAAGCTGTTTACCTTCGCATGTAAGCCGCAGGGTCATTTTGCAGCTGAAGGATTGTATGCAGTATTAGTTCTTGCGTGCTCCTCATGCTCCTCACGAGTCCTACTGGAAAATAGTATAAACATGGTGTATCTTATGCACAGAGAAATGTAGTCAGTGATGTAGATGATTAACTGACACCGATGTTTTGACCCCTGTTTCACGGGCCTTCTTCAAGGCAACGTTGTAGTTCCGATCTGGTTCCGCTCGTCTGCAGCTGATCATTAAGTTGGACCTGAGAAACGAGTTGTTTATCTGTTCTGCCCATGGGGCATGGGTCGAAACATCAGTATAGGTCAATGGTCTTATCTGTGATCTACCACCTTTTGCGTTGCATATAAATTAAACCGCGTGTATGGTATTTTCATTGAAGAATTTATTCATGTAGTTCGGCTTCGTCTGCTAGTTGTTCTTTCAGTACTGTTAGTTAGTACTTTCAAGTTCGTAGTACCAAACAAACTTGGTTGAGTTTCAGACAGAAGTCAGCAGGAAGACCCATAATTAAAGAGAGCCATCCACCCATCCGACCATCCGTGTTTAGGACCGGCATCTTCCTTAAGATGGGGAGGGGGGTAACGCGCTCACTGTTACCAATCCTGGGTTATGGAATTGACCTCAGGTGGTAAGTGCAAAAGTCCGGGGCAGCGATGCTTGATGTCCTTGTATTAAGTCTTTCTAGAACTTCCTCGAGGTCTTCTGTCGGTCAGTCGAGCAAGGAGCAGATTTTTTGACTCGTTTTTGGCGAGACATGAGAAATATCGCTATCGCGACCTTAAATTTTAAAATGTGGCGTCTAGATCTTCATAGATTCTCGAATCACAGAATTCTGCATTTTGTCAAAATCTGTTACTCCAGTGATCTTCTGAGGCTTGTACTCGCTATCTCATTTTTTTTCGGTCACTGCCCAAACTTCCTGATTGTAGCCGAGGGTGGAAATTAAAATCGATTTGAACGCATCTAGCTTTGTTCAAGGACTCAGTGAGTCTCCGCCTTTCTTACAATAATTCGATACAGGTTACTGATCCCTCCACTTGCCATACCGATTTTTCTCTCGATCTCCTCTTTCCATTTTCTGCCACTCGTAAGTGCGATCCTGATGTATTTGAAAACTGCTTCAGCTATTTCGCTATGGCTCCAGTAACATGCGAAGCTCATTGAACAGGGGATCGGGAGGCCACGGCTGTTTTCTAGTAGCTGTTTTTATCCGTATTCTGGCCAATTCCCGTTCGATTGCAAGCCTGTCGAGTGCTCTCTGGTTTCCTTTTCAGGTAATGCCGTCAGGAAGAGGTCGTTTGTGAAACGAAAGACTTCTGACTTCGATCTAACTGATTCTGATACGTTCTTCTTCTCTGTGTCTGGCTAGCCTGTTTATATCGATGATGCAAAGGAGTTGTGACAAAACGTACCCTTGATGGAGTTCAGAGCCCACGGTGAAGGATATTCGACCTGCTTCAATCACTTGTACTATGCTCCAAACTTGAGGTGCTTCTTGGCCGCACTCAAGCGCTGACGCAAAATCTTGAACATCAGCAACATTATGTACCGCTGCTACTCCCGCAACCCGAATGGAAAAGAGGCACCCAAACCTAGCCGTTCTACGCTCATTATTAGATTTATTCTTAACTATCTGTCCGGATCCATCGATCGTCGCTTTAACGCGCTGTCCCATTTTGTAGACACACTTTTCACAAGTCATTTCTGAAGCCTACTCGGCGTTCCTCCTGTTTCCAGTCGAATCTGACAGAAACGAATGGAGATCATTTTTAAATGCTATAAGTAGATGAAGTAGACCATACTCTTATAACGGAACAGTGCTCTGGAGCTATGATCGACGGAACACTCGATAATGAATCTGAAAACACCTAATCCAAACTGAATCCTTAAGTGTTGTTTCTGTTTTCACCTTTATTGAATTTATTCAGTAAAGTTCACTAGCAGAGTTAAATGTTGAAATTATTGTTTCGTGTAATGAGGCGAATATTACTAAAGTTAATTGTTGGCTGCCGAAGCATAAAGAAATTAGATCAAATATTGACGGTCGGGAAATGACAAAATTTACCCTTCATGGTGGAAGACCGGATACTGTCATCAGGGACAGAAAGGATGCATAGAGTAGAAGATTTCTAAAGAATACTATACAACGATGAACACCCTTACGGCGACAAGGAGTTTGAAGATACAGATGACATTGACGAAATTCCGAATATCTTGCCAGAGGAAATGCTACACGCTATAGAGCAAGCTAAGCAAGGAAGAACTTTTGGCGAATGCGGTATTACTGTCTAACTCGTGGAATTAGAAGGCGAATTATTGACCAAGATATTAGCACGCATATTTCACACTGTGTGAAGGGATTGAAAATTTCAGGCGATTGGGCTGCCGCATCGGGGATTCTACTCCACAAAAACGGAAGCAAAGTCGATCAGTTTTTTCTCAACCATCTTCAAGGTCTTCACAAATCTGCTGACGACCTGACTTCAGGGAAAGCTGGACGCTGCACACCCAAA